TGGATTATTGATGAAAACTTAGCCTGGGATAATCTAATATATTTGGCAGTTGGTCGTGTGGAATATTTAAACCAACTTATTTGGGTTGAAGCACCTCTATTACTTCCTGAAATTGCCCAAGAGATTGAGAAGACAAAAAAAAAAAGACAGCTAAAGTACAAATTGAGACCGTCTATTTAGAAAAAACTTATCAGATATATAGGCCAGGACAAAGAAAAAGGTCGTAAATTTGATCTAATAGTTGACTATATCCTCATATTAAAATATATTCAAAAAAACAAATACGTATCATGTCTTATTGAAATGAAATTCGAATGGGATCAGCCAGGAGATATACTTCAGTGGACAGTAGATCGAATTCACAATAGTTTGAGGCATATTAAAGAGAATATACGTCTTACTTGTCTTCTTTGTAACCAAAATCATAGAGTCTAAATCATGGCGGTGATCTAGATGTATACATAGTTAATATTTTTTTTCTTTAAAATAAAAAAAACATTCGCAGAATACTTCAAGTTGAAGAACTTGATATAAAATCAAGATATCATGCAAAATTCTAAAAGAATAAAAAGTTTTAGTTAATAAAACCCACATGTTTGATATATACAATATAACATGCATATATTCAACCTATTTACACTTTCAGAAACCATCGCTAAAATCGTCCAAAAAATGCCAACAGAAGATCTAAATGACTGTATTTATATTAATCGCATATGGTATAAAGAAATTTGTCATGAACTTTATAAAAGGCAAAAATACTTTAATATAAAATACCATAATTTATTAGAAAAATTAGACAGATGCTATAGAGGATCATATATAAATGATAATGAAATTGAGCCCATATATAATAATGCATTGACAATATTTGATGAGCTCGTAAAAGTAGAAAGGTATTTATTAAATAATAATATGATCTTCAGTAAAAGAATTAGAAATGCAATATTGTCAAATATTGAAGACTATAATTATGGAAACCCTCTAGATTCATATAATTTTGGAGAAGATACATTCGAATATATAAAATATCTAATGTAGGGAGAAGAAAGCCGACTTACCCATCTGCCATATATATTTTTTCAGTTGGCTATTTGATCAACTTCGCATTCAAACACATGCTTCGATTACAGATAATAAAAATGTATTACATAAAAATCGGTTAGTCCAGATTGTGATCACAAAATTAAATCATGTCACGTTATAATGGGCCTCGGGGATGATGTCATGTGTACTTAGTCTGGGTCACGATCTATTAAATCACATACGGTAGCGATATTATGTGTGTCTTGGATGAATCGATCAATCACCATAAAAAATAATAATTATCGTGTCGACTTATCATGTTTTTGCTCAAACTTTCTAGTATATTCTCAGTAGTATATACGTAGTAGACCCTTTGGACATTGCTCCACAATACTTGGTCTATATATCGAAGTTTCTATAATATAAGGAATAAAATGAAATAAATTTGTAAATGATCAATGCTAAAAAACTGATATGTTAAAGTGTCAAAATGAAGCCTAGCGTCTAATCAAAATTAAGTTATATTATGCAAATCAAGTTCTAATAAGGTCATATATCGCCCTTATACTATTAAAAGAAGTAGGTTAATAATTATATGAAAATCTAGGATCTTGATATGATGATTATCGCTATAATTGTAATTATTTACCAGGTCTGCTAGTTTACATATACACCACACCTTACCTTCATTACCCAGACCACATATTATCATGTCTTTCTGATCCGGGACCTCTATTCTCAAATGAATTTTTACCTTTATTTTTTGATGACGAATCGATGTTTCTGAAAGTGTAAATAGGTTGAATATATGCATGTTATATTGTATATATCAAACATGTGAGTTTTATTAACTAAGACTTTTTATTCTTTTAGAATTTTGCATGATATCTTGATTTTATATCAAGTTCTTCAACTTGA